CCAGCAGGTCGAGGCTGCGGTGGCCGGGAGCGGCCACTGCACTCAGTCTGGGTGACAGAGTGAGACTCCAACTCAAAAAAAAAGGACCCCCTCAGCACCTGTTAATCAGCAAATGGTAGGAGACTGGCCAGCTGCCTCTGAGTGGACATGGCCGGCCACCCCTCAGCAAAGCATTTGTGTTGAGAAAGCCAGCTGGTCAGTTGTAGATGGCAGGTGGTGACCCAGCAGCTGCTGCTTACACTTCTTTCCATACTGCTGTTCTCCCCTGCTGTCCAGTTCCAATGGCCAGCCCCCTCCCCTCCTCCTCTCCATCCCTACCCCTGTTGCCAGTCCTGGATTTCCACTGACAGGTCTCCCTGGGTCCACTCTGGCACCCATGCCTCTCTGACACTGTTCTTGTTCTGAAGAGCCTAGCCCTTGGCCCTCATGCAGACTGCAGGCTGACCTTTCTCTCAAAGCTTCCTGACAGCCTCAGCCCAGAGGCAGCGTTTCATCCTGGCCCAGCAGGCAGAACTTCTGTTTTCTGCCCTTGTTTCAGACACAGCAATCTGGGGCAAGAAAGTTGCTTCCAATCCTCCTGCTACCCCTTACACCATACACTTACATTACCTGGCGCTGTGTCTCCCACACCCAGGGGGCTCACCTCCTGCCTGTGAAAGAGGGGATCCCTAGGAACAAGGATCCTCTCAGCTGTGGTTTTGGACCTAACAGGTGCTCAGAATGGCCACTGACCAATATCCTGATTGCCAGGGCTAGGGGTGCAATACGAAGGGACAAAACCTCCGGGTGCTCAGTATTGGCTGCTGCAGGACTGCTTGGGACACTCCCAATACCTGCCCCCACCTGTGCTACCCACTTTCCAAGGCCGGTGTGCTACTTCCTGCTACTGGGATGGTTTCCTGTGAGACGCATGGGTCTCAGAGTCTTTTGAATCATGAAGCCCTTTGGAGTCTCTTGAAAACTTAACATACTCTCCCCCCAAAAATGCATGTGTGTGTACCTGTGTGTGTATACACATAGAATTGGCACACCACTGCAAGGGGATCAGGGAGCTTTTGTTCATGTGCCCCAGATCCCAGGTTAAGAATGTCTACTGAAACATATCACCAGCAAGGAAGAGGAGGCAGAGGGGCATTGTAGAGAGGAGTCTGTGTGTGAGTTTTGCAGTAGCATCAACTTGACATGAGACCTCAGAGTGTTGTGCCATCTCTCAGGCCTCAGTTTAGCCAGGGCTTTTGTGGCAGTTGGTATAGAGTAACTTCAGATCTATGGGACTATATGACAATCCGCCCCTGCTCCCAAGGTCAGGCAGTGCAAGGGGAGGAGGTTCTAAATGGAAACATCCAGGGGAAGGTCGGACAGCCAGAAAAGGAGGCCCAGGGAACTGCAAGTTCCTTTTTAACAGAAATGAGAAAACTGCAGAAGCTTTGGGAAGTGTAGTTACTTCCTATTTGATTTTAATTTACTTTTAAACAATTTCAAAATATGTTCTTCAATGTATTATTTGAGAAGATAACCCCTTAGCCTTTGCAAGGCTCTGGGTTCAAAACTCTGCTTGGTGATTACCTGGTTGTGACTTTGGGCAACAGCCTTTCCCTCTCTGAACCTTGGGTTCCTCATCAGTTACATTATTATAATCCTCAATGACTTTTGGGAAGGCAAATGAGGAGACAGGTAAGATGGGACTCTGTAATATGAAGCCCTCATATGGGGCTCACCAATAATAAACAGAGGCTCCCATTACTGTTTTTTTTGACACTGTGAGTCAGGGGATCTAGAGAGACAGCAGGTCTCCAGAGATGAGAATCTGAGACTCAAAGAGAATGACAGGTCTCCCCACAGGAGTGGCTATGAGTGAGGGAGGAAACAGGCTGAGTTTACTCCTGAAATCAGGACCCAGATTCCTAAGGGGCCCAGTCCCAAAGGCTTTCAAGTAGACCCCATAGTCAGGGTCTCCCTTCTGAGGCTTTGCACTTCCAGAATCTGAACTGCGACAAGTTCTGTTTGTATTCTTTGTTACTTGTCATAATCCAGGTGGCCCTCACCCAGGGGGACCCTGGATCTTAATTCTGTTCTCCATCTCCAGTCCACCCACTGGAGCTTCTTGGAGGAAATACAGCCCCCTCTCCTGCTTTTCAGATAGATACTTTAATTGGTGGCATCAACCTTATTTTCACTGTCACATCTTGAACCACCAGCAATAAATACACACAGAGAGAATTGTGACTAGAATAAAAATAGACTTAACACATAGACAAAGTGCTGAAACACACCCATGACAACTTCCAGTCAGCAATTTTTTAAACCTAAGTTTAACGAATTTCATCTTCTCTCCTCTTCCTTTCTTCTCTTCCTCACTGATTCACTCCCTCTCATCCTTCGCCCCTAGCTTCCCAGCCCTGGTGGCAGTAGCCCAGGAATTATACAAAGGAACAGGAGGTACTAAACTACAGAGAAGCCAGCGAGGGTCTTTTCTGTGAGTGCAATGCATGACTTTGGAGCCTAATCTGCTTGGGTTCAAGTCCTAGAACCCCAGCCCTTACCTGCTGTGTGACCTTATTTAATTCCTATGTGAAATGGAGTTACTAAAGCTCTCCTTTCCCTGTTTTAAGAAAACACTAGCCCTGGCTTGGCACTGATCGTGGTGTGCTCACCAGGAGGCCTCCCTCTTACAAGACTGTGCCAGATTAATGAAAGCACTGAGACATCCTTTGGAAGTGGGAAGTGCAGGTCCGAGAGTAAGGAGCATGGGAAGAGCAGGACAGCAAGTAGGCTGAGCTCTAGAGTCAGGGGGTGAAAAGCAAGAGACCAGAAAGCACAGCAAGTCAAATTCTGGCTCTACCACTGACTCATGGGGAAAGATGGACGATTCTATATAACTCTTTCAGTCTCAGTTTTCTCACAGAAAATGGAGATAACCGAAGTTCTAATTTCACCCTGCTGTGAGGAATAAGGGTCATATGTGGTAAAGCACAGGGCCAGCACAAGACCTCTACAAATAGTGATTGTGAGACAAGTCTCGCCTCTGGCGTTGGGTTTTACATTTATTAAGTCAGCGAGTTGTGCCAGAGGCACGCCAGGCACTCTAGGTCAATGATTCTGGGAGATTAGCTAAGGACGAGGTGAACAAAGGTGTAGCCAGTGGCCGTGCTCACCTGCCGTGTTCAGTTTTTAGCCTCTAAAGTACCTTCCCTTTGGCGGAGACGCCAAATGCAGTGCCCACTCTCAGCAAAGGGCCCGGGTCCCGCAATGCGCCAGGCTGGCAGGGGGAGGGACCCTGCGCGCTGCAGTCAAAGAGCCCAAGTGCCCAGGCTCCAGCCCCCCTCGTCGGGTGGCAGCAACCGGGTGGGAAGAGGGCCTCCACCGACTCCCACGAACTCTCCTGCTCCTGCATCACTCACCGTCCAGTCATCGCGCCGTCCAGAAGCCACTGCGTGCGCCGTGCCCTTGCCTGCACCAAAGCTGCGCCTGCAGTGCCCGCTGCTCCCGGCCTCCGCGACTCAGGGCCAGAGCTCGTTCCTCAACCCGCCCCTCCCTGCTCCTCCCATCGCCCCGCCCCGCTCCATTCCTCTCCGCCTCTCACCCCGCACGGCCAATGGCACCGTCTCGTCCCGAACCGTCCCGCCCTCGAAACGTCCCCACCAAGCCCCGGCCAATGGCTCCTTCCGCCCCGCCCCGGGCACGCGGGTAGGGTCCAGTGCAGGGCGGTGTCCCCGCGGCGCCGGGGGAAGGTTTGGGCCGTCCTGCACATCTAGTGTCCTCAGACCCAAGCTTAGAGCATCGCGTGCCTTCTGAGTCCCCAGTCCCTGAGAGCACCCGGTCCGGCCAGGGACCTTGGGTTAAACTTGGACCCTTGGGTTTCCAACAAAGGCCCTTGCTCCGGCGTCCCAATGAACTTGTGTGAGCTTATGGGGCGGCTGGGGGGAGGCTTATCAGTAATACCCGGATTATTTGTTATTAATTGCTCAAGAGGCACCTTTGTACAGTCTAGCTGTTTGCTTGGCGCGGCCTCTTAGAACTCTGCATTGTTTGAGGAAGCCGATCCGGCGAGTAAAAAGAAGTCAGCCTTTCTTCCAGTCACCGCCTCCTAGATGAAAATTTGCCTGTACGGAGTCAGAGAGGACAGAAAACCACAGGCCATTTGGGGGCTCAGAACAGTTCCGTGTTTCAAGGGTGTGGGGTGGCAGGGCGGGCGATGAGGTTGATGGAAAACAGCTGTAATTTCTGCTTTATCTCACCATTCCTAACTCCGACCTCCAGATCTCTCCCCCCCAACCTAGGTTACTTTTGTTTCATTTAATCTTAATTTCCTAATCGTTTTAGGGTGGCATGGCCATTTTAGATTCTGATATGGATCTTCTAAAAAATGCAGGTGATCACATACAAAAATATTAACCTGGGATTTGAGTCTATGGACCCCTGAACTCCAACTCAGAGGGACAAGACTGGGGGTAAAGAGTCTGGGTTCTACCATTTACTTCTAGTCATGTGACATGGCCTATATCGCAACCCCTCTGGGCCTGCTTCCTCAACTGCAAAAAGTGAAGGGGCTAAAGATGACCAGTCTAGGGGCCTTCCCATCTCTGCCTTTGCTTGAGTTCGTGAAGAATGTCCTATCCTTTGCCAGCTCAGGGAGTATCTATGGTTGGTGACCTGCTGTCATGATGCATTTATTCTTCCACAGTCAAAACATCAGTGCTCATCAAAGCTGAGGTCAATAATTGGGGACCACTAAAAGGTTTTTAAAAACAGTGGATAAAATTCAACACAGCTCACAACCTCTGAACACTAGATCTTAGGAGTTTAATCACTTCAGATAGGAGAAGTAAACATAGCAACATAGAAGTAAGAGGGTGATATACAATTTTCTTGGCGCTCTCCAGAGCTAAAGTGTGAGTCATTCTCTTTGATCTAGTTAATGCTATTCACAGGGCCATGACTATCCCAGAGTGAGGATTGATTTTGAAGCAGCAACATGATGTGTCCTGTGCGCCCAGTGTGTATCAAATGTTGTGCTAGTGCTTTGCAGCAGAAATCCCATGCAACCCTCGGTTCTCCTGAGTGGTGGGTGTTACTACTTTCATTTTGCACAGAACACAGTGTCCATCACATAGAACACAAGTGTCCATTGTCAGGGTTCTCAGTTCCTTGAGGGGGGGGTCACCTTTTCTTTCAGCATTCAATAGAACTGGACTTGGCCTCCAGCTCACTTATGGGAGGGATATGGATGTTGTCAGTTGTCAGTCAATATCTATTCCCCCCTTCTTTGGAAAAAAAAGGAAGAGGGGGAGGGAAAGAAAGGAGAGAGAAAAACCAACTTGTTTGTAACAACATGTCAGTCCCTAGTGATGGATCATGACCACTTGTGTTTTTCATACTACACGTACAACCTAATAATGGATTGTGAAATTAATTTCATGGATGATATGACCAGTACTTAAAAAAAAAGGAAGGAAAAATATCAGTGTACGGTACACTTAGGAAATATAAATTGTATTTTAGAAAACTGCTTTATTTATGTTTCAGTTGTGTATGTGTACAGGAAGTCCCCAACATACAAATGAATTTGGTTCCAAGAGTGCATTTGTAAGTCCAATGTTTTAATTCCAACAAGGTTGGCCTAGGCACCCAAATCACACAATAGGCTATGTAGTACTGCTTTTATTTACCAGGCTATACTGACATCTGGTGGAGAGAAATAATACATAAAAAAAACATAGATGTGCATCTTTAAAGTTCATAACTTGAAGGTTTGTATGTAGGGAACTCATTATTAAGCTGTGATATAAACTGTGCTTCTCACTGTGGGACACAGTCAAAAAAGGGAAAATAGCTATCTGAGTCAATCTTGACAATTCTTTTCAAGGACTTCCCAATTTCCTCTGAAGATAGAAGTGACCATAAGACCTGCTTCAGGGAAAAGAGACTGGGAGGAGAGATTTGAGAGAGGGTAAAGACAATTTCACTTTTCTGGTAGAAAGAATGGATGAATCCTCTGCCTTCCTGTCTTGGATGTGGATATAGTGTGTAATTTCTGGCACACTGGCAGTTACTTTGAGATCATGACACAACATGTCCATGTGTTAAGGCTGGTGGAGCTTAAAGATAAAAGGAGCCTGAATCTTTATTGATATGGCGGTTCTGTACCTTGCTTAAAATGTTTACTTCAGACTTCTCACCATGGAGAAAAAATAAGCCTCCATTTCTTTAAGCCAAAGGTTGGTAGACCTTTCCTATAAAGGGCTGGATAGTAAATATTCCAGGCTTTGTGGGTTAAATTTCAGGCTTTGTGTCATAACTACTCACCCTACTGTTATAGTTTGAAAATAGTCATAGATGATATGTAAACCAAAGGACATGGCTGTGGTTCCAATAACACTATTTACAGAAATAGGTGGCAGAAATAGGTGTGATCCATGGCTCATAGTTTTTCAGCCTCTTTCCTAGATGATCTTGTCCCCTTTATTGTCTTTCTGACCACATCTCCTCCTATTCCCCCTCCTCTCAGCTCTGTTCATTCTGGTCCTCCTGCACATTGGGCCTATTCTTGCCCGAGGGCCTTTGAACTTGCTGTTCCTTCACCCTGGAAGGCTCCTCCTCTGGATCTCCACAAGACTCACTCCATCACTTCCTTCAGGTCTTTACTCACAAATCATTTTCTCTGATGTCTTCCCTGGCCCCTGTTTAAAATGTCCCTCCCTGACCCACATATACCTCTCTGTAGTATGCTGTATATTCTAATTTTTTTTATCATGAGCTCCTTGAGAGAGAGATGCTGTGCTTCCTTAAAAACAGACTCTGCATGGGCTGTCACACTGTATAATAAATATTTGATGTATAATGTTTTCTTTTTGCCAGATTCAGGCAAGAAAACAGACTCAGGGAGGCCCAGTACCCCATCAAAAGTGACATGGTATGGAAAGTGGTACGTAGAGTTGTCATTTGTGTCTTGTGGCCCCATGTGGTCACGTTTGTGCCACTGGAGAGTGAGGGTAGAACAACATCTACCTCTAATGGAAGATCAGATCTCAGGGGAGCTAAGGCCACACAGAAGTTTCTGCAAAACTCCTCACCACTAGCATGTTGCTCCAGTAAGGGAGGCCTCTGGGAGTCCATTAAGGGAGCAGGGCATCCTGTTCAACTTGGGAAATCTTATTCTTTATTGCCTTTCTACCTCAGAAAGCCTTTAGAAATGCCATTATTTCGAGAACAGTCCAGATTAACTTGAGGATCCATAAAAAGCCAAAGGAAACACTCATGATCCAGTGTTTTTAGTTAAGAGCCCAAAAGGATAAATTTATTTTTGATTTGCAAGTGGGGGAGTGTAAGGAGACTTACAGCCTGATAAAACACACGTGACTTGGTCTGTCAGGTAAGGCCACCATCAGGCAGGCTGCTCTGGGCAGGCTTTGCTGGAGGCATCTTGCCACCAGGGCCCTGCTATTAAAGTCTGAGAAATTATCTTCTTCTCTCTGGTGCTTCCAAGGGAAAATGCCTGCATATGATCACATGTTGTTGAGATATAATTTAGATTGATGAGTCTTGAAAAATAAGTTTACGTATATTTATATAAACGATATAAATAGTGAGAACCATTTTCAAGCCATTTCCCTAAAGCAGTAAATGGGATCATGAATTAAAATTATTGGTTAATTGCTTAAGACCTTTTATAGATGCTTTGTGTGATTTTTTTCCCCTTCACTGTGGCCAACATAAAATTCAGAGCAAATAAGTTTTTTCAGTAATATTTTAAAAAGTTTATATGATTCCAAAAGCATATTCTTTAGAAAGCAATCTGATGACTGATCTTGATTGACAGGAAGAGGTCTTTCAAAGAATGCTACTTGTACCATTTGCTTTGATGGAATCCTTGAATAACAAGGTCATCCCATTGCCTGATCTTAATATATGGAAGGCTTTGTACGATTTGTCATCAGTTTTCAGGTGAGACTCAAAAAATCTACACACCACCTATTCTTCTTTCCTATGTGAAATGGTTTTCATTAACTCCATTTGTTAGCATATAAATAATAACTCCAGGTTTATATAATATATTTAACTTTTCCACCCAAACCAGAGGCGAACTAGAAATGTTAATTTATTCCCTAAATGGATATACATTTTAATGATATATGCTGCATAAGTGCTTTCTCATTTTATACACACACACACACACACATATGCTTTATGCATTTTTTTTTCCTTTATGATTATGTTTTAGAAAAGCTTTTGTATTCCATTCTGCAGAACTAGAACTAATAAGTGCTTGAGTGCAGGCTTTCATAGGAATGAACCTGCTTTAAAAGGTGTTACAACTAAAAAAATGGCAAACTAAGCCATTTTTGGGAAATAACTGCTTAATTCAAGCCCTTTCTCCACTTGGTCTCTGAGAAAAGGGTGTGGCTTTCTAACCCATGCTTGCCCTGAATACATATGTTAAGACACGGATGGCCTGAAAACCCATAGGCAGAGAGCATAAGTAGGCCTGACTTGTTGATGAGTCAAAAGCTCTTTTTCTTCGCTGTCT